GGCTGCTAACCAAAAGGCCAGCAGTTCAAATCCACCAGCCGCTCCTTGGAAACCCCATGGGGCAGTTCTACTCCGTCCTATAGGGTCGCTATGAGTCAGAATCGACTCAGCGGCAACGGATAAAGGTTATATGCAATACCATACTTACTCCTCACAACAGCCCATATTTATTCCCTTTCATCATCCCACTTCACAGATGGGCAAACTGATGTGTAGAGAGCTTAAGAAATTGTCCCAAGTTCACACAGATAGTAAGAAGTGGAACCAACAATCACACCCAGGCAGTCCTTGTCCAAATCCTATGCTGTCAGTCTCTCTAGGAACTATATTTAGTGCTGATATATCTCTCAGAATTGCCGGCTTCATGCCGAAAAGGAAGCCTTGAGCCTTCTAAAGGGTGACCTTGGAAGGGCTAAGAGGTGTGAGGTGACAGATACCGTCTCGTCATTCATGACTCTCACAGGTCTTCTCCTGGAGCAGTGCCACAGACATGCAGAGGTTTCACAATAAGGAAAGTCCGATGCAAGGATTATTGTGAGCTCAGAGGGTGGGAGCCCTTGTTGCCTCTGCCTCCCTACCCACAGGAATTGTGAAAAAAGAGTGGACCATGGAGGAATATGCTAGGTTCGAGTTCCTGTTCTGCCACTAACTCACTGTCTGTATCCTCGAATAAATTCCCTTAATCTCTCTGAGCCTGTTTCCACACCCATAAAATGGGCATAATAGCACCTTTCTCAGAGGGTTGTGAAGATTATATTAATCATTGCATGCACACTAATGCCTTCTTGTCACTCAGCTGGTGCTCCATGGAGTTGTTCTCCCCTTCTCCCATTATCCCCCTTCCTCTTCCACCCCAGGGGCTTAGCAAGGGGCATGGCGCAGAGGGGGAAAAAAAAAAAACCTTTTGCCTTTCCCCAGCCAGCCTGCTGGACTCTCCTCCGCTCCTCCTCTCCTACCTCTGTCCAGCATCAGCAGCTGCAATTGCACAAAATGAGCATCGTGCGTCACAGTCCTGGGTTCGAATTCCAGCCCAGCTATCCTCTTCCTAGTCTTGTAACCTTCGGCCAATCCCTATCAGCCCCCTCCGCTGAAGAATGACCCTCCTGCACAAGATCTGATGAAAACCCATTCTGTAAACGTGCTTGGCACACAGTTTGTTTATTCTCTGGGCTTGAAATGGTGAAAGGGACAGAGCTGGGTGGGTCAGGCTGATTTGGGGCGGGCCCTGAGACATTCTGGTCAGCCAGGGGCTGTCTCAACTCCACTTCCCATCTCCTGAATAATTCACGACAAACAAAATGGCCTGCCCACGCTCCGGCCCTCCCTCTTCCAGCCAGAGCAGGGAGAAAAGTTTCTAATTACAGGTCAGCCGGCTGCTCCCCAGGGCCCCTGGGCGCTGCACACAGCGGGTATTTATGGGAAGAGAAGGGAGGGGAGGGCTCTGTCCCAGTTCCTTTCCAGCAGGAACTCAACTCCTTTTCAAATTGTAGGCTTGGCATGCCAAGGCCTGGGGAGGGACTCAGTGAAGAAAACTTAGAGTGGTCAGAAAGAGAAGCCTGCTAAGGGGTCAGAGAGAAGTGCCAGAAAAATGCCAGGTCAAGGAGAGGACTCTGCTAGGTCCCTCCACAGGTGTGAAGTTCACAGTGAACTCACAGGCCAGAGCAGGGAGAAGAAAGAGCATTGCAAAGCTGAGCTTCAAAAGGAGGATGCCCTTACACGCATGCTCAAAGCAGCGCTAGTCATGGTAGCCTAAAGATGGAAACAGCCCAAATGTTCATCAGTGGATGAATGGATAAACAAATGGTGGTATATCCATACAATGGAATATTATTCAGCCCTAAAAAGGAATGAAGTTCTAATACATGCTACAACCTGGAAAACATTAAGTTAAAGAAGCTACACACAAAAAGTCACATATTGTGTGATCCCATTTATAGGAAGGAGCCCTGGGGGTGCAGTGGTTAAGAGCTCAGCTGCTAGCCAAGTCCACTGGCAGTTCAAATCCACTAGCCGCTCCTTGGAAACCCTATGGGCAGTTCTACTCTGTCCTACAGGGTCGCTATGAGTCAAATTTGACTTGATGGCAACGGGTTTGGTTTTTTGGTTTTTTTATTTATAGGAAATATCCAGAATAGGTAAATTTATAGGACAGAATGCATATTGGTGCTTGCCAGGGACTGGGGTGGGAGGGAATGGGGAATGACCGTTTAGTGAGTACAGGCTTTATTTTGGGGTGATGAAATTAATTGAAACTAGACAGAGATGGTGGTGATTGCATTCACAACATTGTCAATGTACTAAATGTCACTTAACTGTTCAGTTTAAAATGCTTCATTTTATGTTATGTGAATTTCACCTCAAAAAAAAACAACAAAAGATTAACGCTTAAAAAAAAAAACAAAAAAGAAGATATCCTAACTAATACCACAGCCTCTCCACTCATAGTTTCTTCATCTATAAAACCGGGAGAATCACAGTACCTACCTCAGGGCATTATTGAAGTAATTACATGAGTTAATGTATGTAAAGTGCTCAGAATACTGCCTGGTACCTTCTAAATGCTCAAAAAAATTATTAGTAGTATAGTTATTTTTTTAAAGGATAATACATTATTACTGTTGTTTTTATTAGCTGCTGTCCAGTAGATTGTTACTCACTGAGGCCCCATGTGTGCGGAGTAGAATTGCTCCATAGGGTTTTCTGTTGCTTTTTTTTAGAATTTATTTTCTTTTTGTTGTTGTTGAAAATATGTTCCATAGAGTTTTCTAGGCTGTGACCTTTCAGAAGCAGATCACCGGGTTTGACTTCCGAGGCACTGCTGATGGGTTCCAACCACCAAACTTTCATAGTAGTCAAGCGCTTAACTGTTGTGCTACCCCCCAGGGAGTTGCATAGTTGTTATTTTTTATGTTACACTGTCTCCATGGAGAGGTCAGTTAAGGGTGAGGATGACAAGAAGAGAAAGCTCAAGAGAGGGAAGAGAAAGTTCAAAACAGGAGAGACAGAGGAAGAAAATGACTGACTGGTGAGGCAGTTTTGTATAGTGATTAAAAGCAAGGTCTCCAGGACCAGGCTGCCTGGTTTCAAATCCCAACTCTGTCTCTTACCAGCTGTGTGATCTTGAGCAAGTTGCTGTGCCTTTCTGAGCCTCAGATTCACCATCTATAATAAATGGTAGCCATTGCCATTGGTGGAAAGTGGACAGCAAAACAGACAAGGTCCTTGTCCTCATGGAATTTGCATTTTAGCATAAAAAGTATACAAATGAAGAGCATTTATTGCATGCCCACTGTGTGCAGGCCCTATTCACTCTGCAGGCATTCTCTCACCTAAATCTCACAGCATCACCGCCATTTTATAGATTAAGAGACTGAGGCTCAAAGAGGTTAGGGGCAGAGAAGGGATTTGAAACTAAGGAGTCACTCAACAGCCTGGATGAATCGCTAAACGAGGATGTTGGGGGGTGGGAGGTGGAGGGAGAAAGCCAGACACAAGAGAGTACACGTTGTATGATTTCATTTACATGAAATTCCAGAAAATACAAACTAACTTATAGTGACAGAAAGCAGATCAGTGGTTCCCTAGGAGAAGTGTTGGGGGAAGGACTAGACTGAAGAGGGGCACAAGGAAATTTTCCGAGATGTTAATGCTCCATATATGACGACCAAGGTAGTCACGTGGGTGTATGCATTTGTCGAAGCTCCTCAAAGTGGACACTTTCAATGGGTGCATTTTATTGGATCTAAATTATACCTCAATAAAGCTGATTTTTAAAAAGATCAAAAGCAAAAAAACAACAACAACCCCTAAGCGCACCAGAGTCCAGAGCCCTAGAACCATTCTTATTTTATTTGAGTGTCTGATTTCAAGCTCACTTGTGGGCAGAAACTATGTTGGATTCATCTTTAGTTCCTTCCCCCACTTCCCATCCCCAGGGCCAAGGAAAATGCCCTCAAACCCAATAGTTCAAATCAACAAATATGGGCAGCTTCTTTGTGCTGGGTGCTGAAGCCACGAGCAAGCAGTCTAGACGGGAAAACAGAAGAAAATGGGCAAATAGACACAATAATCAGTAACCAGTTGTGGTTGAGTCAGCTGCAACTCATGTAACCACGTATCTGTCAGAGGAGAACTATACTCCATAGAGTTTTCGACAGCTGACTTTTTGGAAGTAGACTGCCAAGCTTTTTTAGCAACACACAAGCCTCTACTGACAGATTGGTGGTGGCTGCACATGAGATGCATTGGCCGGAAGCTCTCCCCCATGCAAGGTGAGTATTCTACCACTGAACCACCACTCTCCCCCGTTCAGCATACATAACCAAACCAAACCGTTGCCGTCGAGTCGATTCTGATTCCGGCTCATAGCGACCCTATAGGACAGAGTAGAGCTGCCCCATAGAGTTTCCAAGGAGCAGCTGGTGGATTCAGACTGCCAACCTTTTGGTTTGCATCCGAGCTCTTAACCACTGCGCCACCAGGGCTCCACAGAATACATAGTACTCAATAATTGTAAGCTGTTCCTATCATGATTGAAGAGCAGGGTGTTGGAGGGGGGGCACAACAAGAAAGGGGGGGTTCCCTACCCAGCCTGGGGTGGGAGAGGGGTCAGGGCTGCTTTCCCAGGGAGGTGACACTTGGGAGGAGGAGCTGGCCAGTTTAAGGAGCCATGGTGGGAAGGGAGAGTGGGAACAGCTTGGAGCACTCAATAAATATTTGCTCAATTAAAAAAAAAAAAAAAAAAGACACTGTGCTCTATGCCTAGCCAGCCTGTAACCAGAGGGACAGAGAAGGCCTCCCAGAGTAGGCTGGGGGTCCTCAGGAGGCGAGTCTGGGTGGTCAGCCCTACTGGAGGCCCCAGACCTTTCGGGAACACAGGGCCCTCCCTGGCCCGGCCCAACCCCACCCTAGCCCTGCCCTGTGATCTTCGTGGGTTCTGATTGCCCAGGGTCCCTGCCCATCCCCAGGCCGCAGGCTTGGGGCCCAGGGGAAGAGGAACGATGGGGAGGGCTGGCGGGGCGGGGCGGGGCGGGGGTCCTTTCGGGCCTTCTCCCCCTAATGAGAACGGGCCAAGTCCCTGCCAGGCGCCTCCCGCGCCCCCGTTGTCCGAGCCACAAAGAGCCAGGATCAATGGAAGGCGGGAGCGGCCGAGGGGCCTCCTCTTTGTGCGCCTGTCTCAGGCCTGTTTGCGCTGCAGTCTCCGCGCCCCCATTGATCAGGCATGTGGAAAGATTCCGCCTCCCGGGCTCCCTTTGTGGCCTCGTTGCCAGGCTGCGCCCGGCGTGACTGCTCCGCGCAGGGCGCTCCCGCCTACGGTGGGCACCGGGCTGCGAGACGGGGCGGGGTCCTGAGAGGACAGGATGGCCAGATTTAGTAAATAAAAATACAGGACGTCCAATTACATTTGAATTTCAGATAAACAACATTTTTTTTTTCTAGTATAAGTATGTCCCATGCATTATTTGGGAATACTTACTGTACTAAAGAAATATTGTTTATCTGAAATTCAAATTTAACTAGGCACCCTGTATTTTATCTGGCACTCTGAAGGCGCTCCTTCTGCTGATTGTTGTTATTGGGTGCTAATTCCGACTCATAGTGACCCTGTGTGACGGAGCAGAACTGCAGATCGCCAGGTCTTTCTGCGCAGAGCAGCTGGGTGGGTTTGAACTGCCAACCTTTCAGTTAACAGCCAAGCTCTTACTGTTGCCACCAAGGTTCCTTTTCCTTATGCTGATACTTTCCCCAATTTCAGCCATTGAACTTTTTTTCTTTGTTTGCTTTTGACCATATCTGCATATCCCCTGGACTATTTAGACACTATTTTTCTTTAAATGAATTTACATTCTAAAACTTAAATTACTGAGTGGTTTATTGATGCATACTTTCCAAACATTAACTTGAACAAATATTAAGAGTATGTCTCAATGCATTTTTACTTTTGGATACCCAGATCAAGATATAGAATATACCCATTATTCCAGAAGGTTCTGCAGGTCCCTGTTCCCCATTAATACCCTCCCCAGCTGGCTACCACTATTCTGACTTCTGTTACCATAGATTCGTTGTAGTTGTTCTTGAACTTCGTATACGTGGAATCGTACAGTGTATACTCGAGTCTGGCATCTTCCACTCAACATCACGTCTGTGAGATTCGTGGTTATCAGTAATTTGTCCCCTCTCTCTGCTGGCTGAGGAGTCTCCCATTGTGTGGCTGTACCACAGTTTGTTCATCCATTCCTCCGTTGATGGATGTCTCAGCTGTTTCCAGGTTTCGGCTCTGTGAATAAAGCTGCTATAACCATTCTTGTCCTACTCATTGTGTGAACTTAAATATATTTGACTGAAGCAATACTACGTGTGATTTTACAGCTTTGAAATGCTAGTTATATATTTTTTCTCCTGCACATTAGATATACGACTATGACACACGTTTACGTGAGCATCTTTGTTCATCCAAGCTCCACCTTCTGCACCATCAATGGGTCACATGCCAAACTGTAGAGTAGAGCTTACAAGGATACACCAGCTCAGGTAGTTCTGGGGCGAGATAGCTCATTTGGGCCTTGATTTCTTCATCTGTGAAATGGGAGTGATAATACTAATTATCTCACAAAGCAGTTGAGAAGGTAAAATGAGACCAAAAAAAAACCAAAGTTGCCATTGAGTTGATTCTGATTCATGGTGGCCTCATGTGTTTTGAATGGCTGTGACCTTTCAAAAGCAGATTGCCAGGCCTTTCTGCAGTGTCACTCGGTACATTCAAACCACCAACCTTTTGATTAGTAGCCAAGCACTTTACCATTTGCGCCACCTGAGAAAAACCCAAACACATTGTTGTGGAGTCAATTCAATTCCAACTTACAGCGACCTCATGTGTTATAGAATAGAACAGAGCTCCATAGGGTTTTCCTGGCTGTAATCTTTACAGAAGCAGATCACCAGGCCTTTCTTCTGCTGTGCAGCTGGGTAAGTGTGAGCCACCAACTTCTCGGTTAGTAGCAGAGCGCAAACCATTTGCGCCACCTAGGGACTCCTAAAATGAGATAATGTCTGTAAAAATACTCAGCCTAGTGCTTGGCACATAGTGGGTGCCACTATCAAGTGCTCAACTAATGGCAGCAATTGATGACCTGGTCTTATTCCATCCTGATCCCTTGAGGTAGATACTGTTGTTATCAACCTATTTTACAGATGAGGAAACTGAGGATCCGGGAGGCAGAGTCATTGGCATAGTATGTGGCAAAGCTACTGCCCAGTGTGGTTTCCAGAGCTGGGAAGCAGGAAAGACCCATGAGGCTCAGTACCTGGAGAGGAGAGTAGGCTACAAGGAGAAGCTGGGTGACTTCTCCTTCCTGCTTCTGTGTCCCTCATTAGCACCCAACCTGTAGGCAAGCAGGTGGCTGCAAAACCCAGTTTCTCGGTTTCTCTTTGGAGGGTGGAAAGAGCTGGACTGGACATTTCTGGGAGAGGCCAAGCCTCCCAGCCAGCAGGCAGGTGGGAGGACAGGCAGGGCGAGTCTAGTGGGGGAGGTGTGGGCCAGAGGAAGCAGGAAGCAGGCGCAGGCCTGGCCCTCCCACAGCCTCAGCCGCTGGGCAGAGCCCAACTTGCTACCTGCCATCTGAAGCACACGGGAACTGCTGATCTCAGGCGATTAGTATAACAATCCCCAATCCAGCGGCCTGGGGCCCAAAACTGGGCCTGCACAGTCCCATTTCAAGCTAGCTCTTTCTTTAGCTGGCTAATTATGGGGGGTGGGTGCAGGGAGAGGGGGGCATGACATTGTTAAAGGGCCCCTGCCCCCAAGACCCAGGCTGGAGCTAGGAGCAGGATGGGACCCTGGATAATACCAACCTGATGGGTGGAGACCCTCCCCTGGGCGAGGCAAACCAGGATTCCTGGCTCTAGTGTAGAGGGAGGTTTGGGGGCTCCATCAGCCCTGGCAAAGTGTGAGATGCACGGTTAAACATCTACCTCCAGTAGGGATTCCACCAGGCCTCCTGTTTCGGTCCTCCTTGTCACCGTGAGTGCACGACTGTAGGATCTGTCTTACAGCTGTATCCCAGTGCTACAATGTAATTTTCAATAAGTGACGAAAGCACAGGGCCTGCGGCTCCAGAACTCAGGACTCTACCTACTGATACAACAAGGCTGGATGCTAATGGAGGTCATCCTTGCAGATCTCTCTGGGTCTTTCTGCTGCCCAAGTTCTCACCCTCAGGGTCCTGAACCCCTCCTTGTTCTTCATCCTCCTGTCACCGGAAGTCAAAGAAGGCACACGGGGTAGAATAGGCAAAGCATAGGTTTTGGGTGCAATGCTGGCTCTGCCATTTAACCAGTTGTGTGACCTTGGACAAGTCTCTTAACCTCTCTGAGACTCAGTTTTCTTATCTGTAAAATGGGGACAAGCAAAATCTGATTCAAAAATTGTTATAAGCATTTTCTAAAAGACATACGGGAGTGGATGCCATAGGGTCAGGGCCCAGTGAATGAGAGACCCCTTTCCCCTTTCCATAGAATCATCTATTTGTTACTAACAATGTGACTATTGCTTATCTGGGGCACATTATATGCCAGCCCTGTGCTTAGTGAGGAGCTCTGGTGGTACAGCGGTTAAGTGTTAGGTCTGAGGTTGGAACCACCAGCTGCTCCTTAGAAGAAAGATGTGGCAGTCTGCTTCCTTAAAGATTAACCGTTGCCATTGAGTTGATTCTGACTCATAGAGACCCTATAGGACAGAGTAGAACTCTCCAAGGCTGTAATCTTTGAGGAAGGTGAGGTCCTGGTGGTGCAGTGGTTAAGAGTTTGGCTACTAACCAAAAGGTCAGCAATTTGAATCCACCAGCCGCTCCTTGGAAACCCTATGGGGCAGTTCTACTCTGTCCTATAGGGTCCTTATGAGTTGGAATCCACTCAACGGTAATGGGTTTTTGTATTTTGGGTGCTCAGCGCTAAATTCTCTTTTCAACCTTCATAACACCTCAGTGTTATGTACTTTAAAAAAATTTATTTATTTGTTGTTATTGCTGAGAATACACACAGCGAACCATACACCAATTCGACAGTTTCTCCGTGTACCATTCAGTGACACTGATTACATTCTTCGAGTTGTGCAATCATTCTCGCCCTCCTTTTCTGAGTTATTCCTCCCCATTAACATAAACTCACTGCCCCCTAAGATTTCTGTCTAACCTTTTGAGTTGCTGTGGTCACTTTGATCCCAAATAGATAGTTCTTAAAATAGCATAATGCTCAAGGCAGACGTTTTTACTAGTTAAGCTAAACTATTGTTTACAGCCCGGGTGGTGAAATGGTTAAGAGCTACAGCTGCTAACCAAAAGGTCAGGGGCTCGAATCTACCAGCTGCTCCTTGGAAACCCTATGGGGTAGTTCTACTTTGTCCAGGGTTGCTATGAGTCAGAATTGACTCAATGGCAACGTTTTTTTTTTTCTGTCGTTCGTTTGTTTGGTTTCAAGAAGACTTCAGGGGATATTTTTGGTTTGAGGATTAAAGATTATTTCAGGGCAATAGTTTGGGGGGTGTTATGTACTTTTAAAAGAAGACTAAAATGAAGTCAGAGAGGTGAAGTGACTTACCCAAGGCCATAGAATTAGAAAGTTTCAAAGGGGAGCATGAACCCTTCTCTAGCTGACCCTGAAACAATGGTTTTGGGCAGGGAAAGCATGGGAGTTATTGCAGCCACTACCCCTCCCCTACTCAGCCAGCTAGGCAGCCTCAGGGTTTTTTTTGATCATCTACTGTGTGTTAAGCATTGTGCTGGGTGCTGGGGATAGTGGTGAACACAAGACAGACATGGTCCTCCTGCTTTTCTGGAGTCGGAATCCAACAGTAGTCAAGTCATTTCAGTAAGTGGTTAAATGCCCTGAAGACAGTAAAACAGGGTGATGGGCTAGAGTCTGGGGGTCCAAGAAGACCTGGGGGAAAAGTATGCTAGGCCAAAGGAACACCAGGTGCAAAGGCCCTGAGGCAGGATGTCTGTTGGGGTATCTGAGGAACTGAAAGTCAGCCAGTGTGGCTGGAGCACTGGGAAAAAGAATAAGAGTGTGGTGGGACAAGGTTGGAGAGGGAAGAAGGGCCTGACCAGGCAAGACCTTGTGGGACATGGTAAGAAGTTTGGAATTCCTTCCTTCCTCCCTTCTTCTTCCTCCTTCTTTCCTTCCTTCCCCTATTCAACCACTCTTCTTCTCTCCTTCCTTCCCTCCCTTCTTTCTACCCTCTCTCTTCCTTCCTTCTTTCCTTCCTCCTCCATTCAGCTACTCAATCTCTCTCCTTCCTTCCTCCTTCTGACCCTCC